GGTGCTTTCAGGACACTGACAGGACCAAGGAAAATGAGGGAAAATTTTCAGGTGGCAAACATTCCACCCAAGTTTCAGTGAATGAGTAGGGGGCAGACCGTTAAGCATTCAGATCTCTGAATGACTGTCAGAGACAGTTAAACCTCTACAATAATTAGACAGAGAGATTCAGGAGGTATTTAGGCCATCCAAATGTGAGTTTACAGATACACTGTAAGAGATAAACTCGGTGGTACATTTCATATCAACTTTTAGAAGTCTTGCAGCTTACAGTTCTGCTTCACTATGTGGAACAAATTCTTCAGAGCAAGCAAAGATGCTCTTTAATTTTTCTCATAGATCCGAAAAGAGGCAGAATTTCCACAAATCTAGGAAAATAGACAGGAACACTCATCTCTTCCAGCACCTCTTGTTCATCCTTTGTGGAGTAACAATGGTGCAGCTGGAAGAAGAGGTTCCTAAAATATGTCTCTTCTTGATTCAGAAGAACACAGGAAATTTCTAGTATGTTTTATGATTTACGCTAGACAACTCAAATCCCAGCATATCGTAGGAAGTGGAGTTCTTATTCTTTCTTGCAAATTGCTCTGAAATGTTGCTAAGTAGCAGCATTCTGTCTTTTTTTCATTTTTTATTAGCTGATTTGGCCTTTGTTGATCTAAATTACCTTCTGCTTACCATCCTGTCATCTAGGGACTGTAAATGGTATTAAATAAAATCATTATTCTCTTTTAAATTTTGTTTCAGCAGCTTGATTGCCTTGCTTTAGCATTACAGTGGGCACTTGTCATGTGTCTATAAGCGTTTCGACTCTTTCCAGGATCATTTTCCAGGGGAAGATTTCTTGGGCTTTTTGCCATGTGGGAGGCTGTGAGATAAAATGCATCTTCAAAAATGTTTATAACATTTTATCACTTTCAAATGATGAAGGATCAGATGGAAGTCACTGAAACCCCCTTAACTCCTGACAGCAAAGTACTGTCCCACAGATAACCATGACATTAGATCTTCTTAGCACTTGATGGAAAAAAAGGGAATCTCCTTGACAGTTTTCCTCCTCTGCATTTCCTTGAGACTCTGCTTTTGGAGCAAGACTGCTACTGTGTCAGAGTGCATGTGGGGGACCTCAGCTGGACTGAGGCCCTGGGGAGGGACGGCTTTGACCTTGAAAGGATTCCAAACTACCCCTGAGAGAGCAAACAAGAACAGGAGGAGCTGCAAGATGAGCAAGCTTATCGACTGCAGTAAGAGAGCATAACCACTCTGAACCAATAAGAAAAGAGACACATCAGAAGAACTGATAACCCTGTACTTGGAACTAGTTTTAGGTGAATAGAGATACCAGAAATCTTGGGAGCTTGAACTCTTGAACTTTTCATCTTACTACACTTGTGTGATGAGCTCATGCATATTAACTTCTCTGCCCTGGCAAGGGACAGGGTTCATTTCCGTGAACATGTGATGTATGAACACATACATGAAGTCTGTACACCCTGTAGAAAAAGTATAAAGGAATAAAGGAGGAGAGCAATAGAGGGTTTTTGCTTTTGGCTTTTTGCGTTAACTTGCTTTAAAGAAGAATCTGTCCTGTAGTTTTGTCCATCTTGACCGCAAAAAGTGCGAAGTTATTTCACAACGTAATTGTGTTGGAGTTTAGGAACAATTGTGCCATAGCTCTATTAAGCTTCCCTCACAGACCTAACAATGTAAAGATCTGCTGGATACAAAAGTGAGGATCACTTTCTTTAATCACTAAGTCTGATTAAGATAATGTTGTCGCCCTCACTCTCTTTAATGAAAGTCATCACCTGTGTGGCCACGGCAGCAGAACAAGACCTGCGTGACAGACTCACTGTGGTCACACACACTGAAATTGCTGGTGGAACAGCTCATCTCAAATCACAGCAGTGGAAATGCTCTTCTTAAAGAAGGTGGGACAGTGATCAGCTCTAACACCAAGCTTAAGGAAGGAGCCTGTAGAGACTGTACTGAAAACTTTCTCAGAGCTTGTCAGTGTTCTAAGTCCTAATCCTTCCTACAGGCAGAAAACTTTTCTGAACTCCTAATGATATGATCAACGTACGTTCAAAAAACCTGGTGTCCTTGTTTCGTCTGGGACAGAGTTAATTTTTCTTCTCAGTAGCTGGAATAGTGCTGTGCTTTGGACTCAGTATGGGATGTGATATGAGAAGAACAGATAGCACACTGACGTTTTCAGTTGTTGCTGAGATTTCAAGGACTCTCCACCTCCCCACGTCCTGCCCGTGCGCGGGTGCACAAGAAGCTGGGGGGGAGCACGGCCAGAGCACCGGCCCCAAACTGGGCAGTGAAATAATCCAAATCATGTAACGTCATGCTCAGCATATAGAGGAGGGGCGGCCGGGAAGGGGGGGGGTTCTCTCTCACTGCCAGGATTGTGGTTTGGGGATCTTGGCTCCTCCGGGATCGCTGGCTGGGAACGGGCTGGGTATCAGTTGGCATGTGGTGAGCAACCACATTGTGTGTTACCTGTTTGTGCTTCCTATTACTGTTGTTTTATTTTATTTAAATTATTAAACTGTTTTTATCTCAACATATGAGTCTCTCTTCACCCCTCCAATTCTCTCCCCCACATCCCAGGGAGAAGGATGGCTGTGTGGTGTTCAGCTATCAGCTGGGTTGAAACCACAACTGGGAAGCTTACCTCTGCTTAGACCTAAAGTGAAGTTTAAGTCATGGTAGCAACTATGTTGCATGTTACACAAAAAGTTGATTTTTTTCCTGTGGATGTCAAAGAATACCTAGTGTGGGGGAGGAAATGGTAACCTGAAGGAAAATGAAGTTTAGCCATGTGGAATAAAGAGAACAGAGAGGCTGCTGAGACCACATTCAGCAGTCTAGAAATGACTGGGTATTTGTGGGGAGCCTTGCCCTTTTCCCGAAGAATAAGGCATACATGTTCTGCTTAACCCAGCCTTGTATCCAGGTGGCACGGGCAGCAAGGCCGTGTCTGCTCTGATGGGTTTCTTAAAACTTGCCTGCTCTGTGAGACGAGAGGGTTTAGGAGAGCACCAGCACAGGTGAGAGAGCGTTTGTACCCACAGCACTTAGTAATGGCTGCGACAACCTTCTTTAGCTTGCTCGCTGCAAAAGTCCTACTCAGCCCATATAAATAAAAAAAAATCCATTTTTGCATAGCACTACAACATCTTTGGCCTTGTTTTTGTGTCAGTATTGTTTCTGTTAACACCCTGTCAGCAATACTAGAACTAAAATGCTAGGGCTCTAAACTCATGCCTGTCAGAGTTCAATCTAACCAATATGCAATTCTTGTTTCAGCTAATGAAATAGCTCTGCTTGTTATTGATTTCGACTAGTTATTTTTCATAAAATGCCACCAAATGAACAAGTGATGAAATCCCATGCCAAAGAGTTCCAGGTAAGTTATGAATTTCCTTTCAAAGACACACACTTTTGAAACTTTTACATTCAGAAATGTTACCTATGTCTCAAATTGGTTGCTCTCTTACTATTCGTACACTAACAGGATTAATGCTTGTCAGTTTTAACTGCTTAAGAATTTAGTTTAGTATGCTCTGCATGCCAGAAACACACGATTAACGGTGTTAACAGAATGCCTCTAGAATTTGGTGTCTTAACTCGGCAGTGTTCTTCTCCACCACGCTACATTTGCCACAAACATCAAATTAGCGTTAACAAATCAGGAGACGCAAGACTCGTTGACTAAAACGAAATGGTCAAGAACATCTTGTCTTCGTCCTTGATACTATAATCTCTGGTATCTGAGAGAATTTCCCTTGAAGTCTGTTTGCTCTATTATTATTGTGATGTTGAGTGAGTTTTGCCCTTTTTTTTTTTTTTTCTCTTAGCCATTATGTATTTTAAAGGTATGATGAAAAATGTCAGAATGTCAGAGTTTATAAGTCTCCATGACAGTGGTTACAATGTTACTAAATTATCTTTTCCTAGGCAATTGCGTGTGGAGTGATTTGGATTCGCTGTGAATCGGAAATTCACGGCGAACTCTTGGGATTCGCCGAAAGGCTGAATTTGCCAAAATACCAACGGACGTCGATAAATGTTCTCCACGATAACACAATTTCCCCACTGAGGCAGAACCCTTGCGCTGCGGCCCCCCCGTCCACGCGTGACGGGCCGCGGCGGCGCGTTCAAAGCGGCAGGATTTACAACACAGCGTGTTCTTTTTCCCTCAGGTCAAACGGCTGCTCGGCCCTTCCCGCGGCACACCGGCGGGCCCCCGGTGCCCACAGAGGGTCCCTTCAGGAGGGGGTGAGACCTTTTCGGAAAGCCCCGCGCCCCTCAGGGACCGCCGTTACCGGCGCCGGGCGGAAGCGGCGCTTCCGGCTGCCCCTTCCGGCTTCACAACCCCCCCAGCTCTGCGCATGCGTAGATGCGTTGCCAGACCTCCGGGGGGGGTGAAAGAGCCTATGGCGCATGCGCGATGTGCAGCCGTAGACCCACACCACACACACCCTCCTCCCCCCCCCGCGAATGTCGCCCCGCTCCCTCCGCTGATCCCCCGCCCGTCTGTCCGTCCCCTCCGCCCCGTTTCTCTCCCGCGGTGGGCACCGACCCCTCCGCTCCGTCAGTCAGCGCCTCGGCGGCGACAGCCCGCGTCACGTGGCCGGCGCCCCGCCCTCCACCGGCTGCCCTCCGCGGCGCCTGTCTGGGCTCACGCGGGAGGGGCCGGCGGCGGCAATTAATCAACCGTTGCAACCGGGGGCGTAACGGCAGGCGCGGAGGGTGGTGGTGGTGGTGGTGGTGGTGGGGGGGGGGATTGGCCGCCGAAGTGCTGTCTGTCCGCACCGCGGGGTCCGCGTCCTTCGCGTCCTCCGCCCTGCCCGCGCAGGCAGTTGGTGGACAGCTCTAGGCGGGCCTCGGGCGCAGCGGGGTCCTGGCGCGACCTCCGGCGGAGAGGCGTGCGCCGGGCGGGAGCGGCGGCGGCGGCGGATTTATGTGCTGGGCGCGGGGCCGGGCCGGGCGGCTGGAGCGGCGGCGGCGGCGGCGGGACCGGGCACCATGGTGAGCGGGGCAGCGCGGGGGGGGGGGGGGCTGTGAGGGAGGAACCTGGCAGCGAGGGTGCGGCGGCTCGGCGCTGTGAGCTCCTACACCCCTCCAACCCCCCCGGTGTTTGTGGCCTCCTGAGGCGGTTTGGTGACACCCCCCCCCCCCCCTTTGGTCTCTGTAGCTAAACGCTTCTTTATATGTCACCGCGCCGACGCGTTTTTAGCCTCCTCCCCCGCGGTGGTCACGGCCCCTCTTTGCCCCTCTCCCAGTGACAAGCCGTTGCCGCGGGCCTCAGGGGTGTTTTCATAAAGATACCGCACGGTCTCTGCGCTTCTCAAACTCGCCTGCTGTATGTCACGTAATTTAACCACCCGTGGTCTCGATTGTCTCTAGAAACCTTCGACAAACGCTCTGGATTTTTTTTTTTTTTTCTTTTTTTTTTTTTGATGGTTGCTGGTTCATTTTCAGAGCTCGGCGTCACCTGGCTGTGCTGTGGCAGCATGCAAGTGTGTTGGGCTTGTGAAAAATCCTGCCTCGGGTTACTTTCCTTGACAGATGTTTCGGCACAGACGCAGCTTACTGTGCCCGGTGTAAGACGTGGTAAAGGAACTTGTGGTATCGACAGGAGCAGAAGAGCACGGATTGACTAGTGTGATTGCTGCTCATGGCATAAGCTTGTTGTGTATATGTAGCTTAAATAGTGGAGGCTATTTCATGAATGGCCCTCCACTATAAAGGTTTGCTGAATTTTGTAGTAAGGGGCTTAGTTACCATTTAAAACATTGGTGTTGTTTGGTTCTACTTCTAACGTACTTGTCTTACAGATATGAGATGTGTGGAGTACCATAGGGATACGTGAGTGTGGGTATAAAACCCTATTTTATATATGCCATTAATACATATATTTTTCTTCTATACGGACATAAATGTCAATGTGTCATTTGAACTATGGCAACATAGTGCTTGTTCAAAGGACGGAAGTCTTGCTTAGCCAATACACTTTAGAGTTGTATTTGAGTGAAGGCTGACTTTTAACTCCTCTAATACTTAAATATTTAATCAGCTGATTCTACTAAGGTATTTTTTTATTATATATTTTTTGAATTCTGGAAGGAACTGTGTAGTTTTTTTTTCCTCCATTCTTTTTTTTTCTCTGTTTTATTTTTTGTAGAGGTTAATCAAAAGGTCTTGAGAAGTTCCTGCCATTTGTAGGAGTGCATGTGTGCTATCATCTAGCTCTGTTTTTGAAGCTACTTTTGGAAAGTTGCAAGCAAATACAACATTTCCTCTCAGTGCAGGCCCTTATTTAAATAAACTGAGTGCTTGCTTCTGTTGCCTGATGGGGTTGAAAAATCAGGTCCAGTTTTCTTTGCTAGTTGCTGGCAGTGTGGACAAATAATCTTTGTGTGAGATTCCATGACGTAAGCAAAGTGAAAAGATTGTTGTCTACTTTTATGTTGTTTAGAATCTGTATTCTCCTGTTCCAAAGCAACAGGAGAATGAAATGTTCATCAGTTCCTTTTGCATCAAGAGGCTTATAAATCAAGTCACTGAAACAATTTATTGGCAGCGCTCTGCCAAGTTGGGACTGCCAGGCCTCATCTGTGTAGTTTCACTTCAATTTATGCTCACATCTTTAAGCTGTGCACAATTGTCCTAATACCATGTAAGGCCATGATGTTTTAGATTGTTCAGCAGAGTTGTTAAAGATTTTTCACTTTTTATGCTTGGAGTGATTTCTATAATGGCAAAGCCTGCTATTTGTAAAGCAAATGTTCTTGGAGAGTGAGAGCTTCCATAGTTCCTACTTGTGCTAATCAGGGAGGTATGGGTAAATTAGATTTTTAAAGTCTTTTAACAATAATAATATACTATAAGCTTGTTTTATCCCTTGTAGTAGATCAGTTCTCTAAACTAGATTTCTCATAATTTAATAGCACGTTGGGTATATGTTGGTTTTCTGCACATTCTGTATTGGCTTCTTCACTAATAATGATAATTCTGCAATTTTATAAATGCTGTTCTTCTGGTCATGGGATTTTTATAGCAGTAACTTGATTTGCCTGGTGATGACTAGTGCTGTAATCTTTGTGCTTAGAGAGCATCAGTAGAAAAAGAAGCAAGACTGTCAGATAAAATGGAATTGGCTGACTGTAATGTAGTTTCGGTTTTAAACAGAACACCTTGTTTCCAAGGGAGTCGTGCTCCCTCCATCTAGCAGTTTACAGCTGTCCTTTGAGTATATGGAAAGACACTGGTCAAAGGAGAAGTGACCTTTGGGTGGAAAGACCCACGAAAGTGAGCAGTTTGGTGGTAGTCTTGAATCCCGTGTATGTTCTTCAAGCCACTTTATGCAGCTTTTGGTCATCTCTGCTGTGTTGCTAAACAGTGATAGGTGCAGGAAAATACAAATTCAGGGAAAACTTGGCCATAAAAAAAAGAAAAAAGAATCCTAATTTTGAAGAGGTTTCTTGGCATAGTTTTTCTTCCCCAAATTAGCCGTATGAATCTCTGATTTTACAGTTGTAAGATTTGAACTGCTTCAGGTTGTCAACTATATAAGATATCATTCTGACTATAGATATTTTGTGGAAGTAGTCTTTTTCACAGGAAGCATTCATTTTAAGACTTTGCACAGTGAGCTCACTTTTTTTTTCTTGACCATCCTGTATAATGTTTTTTACTGTTAGCAAACACTTTTGAATTACATTTATGTTTCAGGAGAGCACCATCTTGCCTTTGCAAGCTGCAGCTTGAGCATGGACATGCACATATGGAGAATATTTTGCATATGGAAAATTCTCATCTAATAGCAAGAACAATAATGTGTCACTGATTAAATGGCATTTCAACTAGGTTGTATCGATTTAGCTTCTCGGCTTCACAAATACCACTTGCAGAAGATAAGAGTATTCGTTATATTCTCCTAGACATCTTGATGGTTGCTACAAATATAAAAGCTTTTCCATTTCTTACTTGAAAATTCACAACCTTATTAGTATGTTTGTGTGCTACCACTGAAAGAGATTGATATGCCCTGAGTTAACACCTACAGAATACTCCAGTGCACTTGTGTAAAAATCTTATTTTTACAAGACTTAACAGTTCAGAAAGTAAGTAGCTGGCATTGCATTTGTGAAGGTGAAGTTGTAAATTGGATTCTACTAGCTGCTTTTTCAGGCACGCACTTGTATTGCTACTGCAATCCTGATGCATGCAACAGTTGGCTTCAGCTCAAGGCCCTCGTCTTGCAGTGGAGGAGATGGTGGTTGTTTGAGAACAGGTGGTTTCAAAGTCCTGGGTAAAGCTAGGTGTTTCAATTATTTGTAATACCTAGGTATGTGGTAAAGGAAAAATCTTGGCCTGTTACTACAGGTGTGAGAAGATAACCTTGGACAAGGTCAAAATGAGGAGACTGGAGTGGTGTTTTGGCATAAAACTATTAACTTTGTTTATCTTTGCTCTGCATGTTCTGTAAATCAATTCATGATGAAAAGAAAAATGTCCTTTAGGCAGAAGTACTTTTAAAAATTTGTTTGGTTTTTTTTGGTTACTATTCTGAGATAACTGTTGATGTATTATAAGTAACACCTAACTTGTAGATAAGAGTATTGTAACTTTATCTTAATTGCTTATTCTTACTTTTTGTTCTTCAAATTATCAGCGTCTCCAGGTATGTAGTGTAAAAGGCGTAGACTGCAAAAACCACAGTCTAGGCTATAGTTTGTACAACCTTATACTGTTGCCTTTTGGACCTCTCATCTTTTTTTCACAGTTTTAAGAAAGCTGACAATCTTCCCCTCAGTGTCGCTGCTAACACTTCTCTTGTAGACCACTAGCATTCTCTGTTATGTTTTATTAAAAGCTTTCTTGTAAAACATGTGCTGTGTTGCACAAGAAAAAGTAAGAATGCCTTACTTAGTGAAGGACCTGGAACTGGGCACAGTGCTCAAGACTTAAGATACCTCTAACCAAAGACCTTCCTCTGTCACAGAAACACAGCCAGACTGCAGTTTATTTGACAGTGTAATCCCTATGTGGTTGCACTATTTAGGTCTCATTTTCAACCACAAAGTTGGTTGCCAACCTCTGTTTTGCAGAGAAACTGACTTAACTGTCTTAAGTAGTTGTATTTTCTTTGGGCTGAGTGCTTCTCAGCATTATAAAGGTTGACAGAAGTGTCTCTGACCAGTGAGATAGTGACTTCTGTCTACACTGTCTTGAATTTGGATTTCAAATTCCAAGCTGCAAAGCTGAAGTGTCATAGGGTCATGGATGTATGTAGAATTAGAGTGACGAAGGTCTTACGAAATGGATTCAAAGAATGTAATTTTCTGTGAGCTATTCTGTAACTGCAGACACTTTTTATTTAATGTGTGAAGCAGTTCCTCATCTCTTAAGAGATGAATAGTTATTCTATTACTTTTGAGTCAAGCTTGTTAATGATTGCGTGCTCAATTACTTTTATCTGAGATCACATGGGTTGATGGGTCTTAGGTTTTGTTCACGAGAGGCACTCAAAACTCACATGTGATTATGGACTTTGACCTTGAGCATCTTCTTCCACAAACATGTATACTCTGTTAAACAGGGCTAGATTTTTTTGTTTGTAAGTTGTGGATTTTTGGCTAAATTCTAAACTCTGTGTTTTCTAATTTAGAGTATGGCAAGTAGAGGATATGATACCTGTGGCAACCAACACCTAATCTTCATTCATGATCCTGAAACAAATAATTTTGAATTTAAACTGGTATTAGTGGTAATGGGAAGACTTAAAAGTATGTGAGAGACTTGATCTAGACAGTGCCTGGATTGGAACGAACCCTGTGTTTTGTGATTTTATGTGTGTGTGTTGTGTGGGGGCAGAAGATGTGTTCGAGTGTTATGAGATAATTCAGGTTGTACATTTCTCCAGAGTGAATTAATAAATATAGAAGTAGTGTGTAACCACATACAGGTGAAAGAGTAGATTTGGCAAAATGTGCTTTGCACGCAGCATGTAATTTTGAGTGGGC